GTTTTCACAAGTAAATTCGTTACTTGTCCAATCTCTTTCGAAATTGTTTGCCCTAGGTAAAATAAGATAGACATTTAAAGGACACATGGGTTTCTAAAAATGCTATATTCTATCTTTAGGTGAGATTGTCTTCCAGCACTTGTGGCTAAGAAGCCCTAACTACATTCAAATGACAAAGAGTTTCACTAGTTATTTTCAAGGATCAAGTTGTCATTCCAACAAGCAATTGGATATCCTAACACAAAACCTGTGCGAAGTTGAGAATGTAAGGTTGGGATGTTCCAATTTTGGATTTGGTTGAATAAATCTATTAAAGAAATCTCACAAAAATAACAACACAGATAGTTTGCATTAAAGAGAAATCTCACAAAAAGGGTGACACAAATAGTTTGTATAAAAGAGCATGTCACGAGAGGAACGACATGTATACTTTGCTGAAAGAGCAATTTGACAAACAGAATGACACAGAGCATTTTCACAATACGAATGACATGTAGAGTTTTCATTCAAGTGTAACCCCACAAATACGTATGGTGTGCATGAAAGGGACACGTCACAAAAGGAATGACATATATGCAAACTATAGAGCCAAGTGCAAGCTTTTTGGCAAACTTGAAAGCAATTTAACTTTCTTTTTTTCATCATTGTATACAAGAGAATTATTCCCATGCATAACACCATGAGGGGAGTGCACAATTTTTCATGAACAATGAGAAAATAGTCTTCATCAACGAGAGTTCATGCTATTAGTAATTCTTCTTTTATGTGCAACTCCATTAGGGAGATGATTTACATGGCATTCAGTCAAGCATATCAGGGAACAAAGATGCATCGGAGCTACTTGCTCTTAAACATTTCTGTTTTTGATGGTTAACCAGTTGAGTTTTAGAATAGGGATGTAATGTTGGCTGTTGCAATCATAAGCACCTTAACTAATAAAACCCCAACCTGATTCCTACATTTAAATATTGATACATGTATCGCCCCTTTGGTTGGTGGTTGCTCTAGAAGGGACATGTTGGCACCATGTTATGACTTCGCCCGTGTTCACTCTCTTGAGCGGGGTTCTTCGCCAATGCGTGGTTATGTCTTCCGGTTTACCAAGGGTCAACTTCTATGCTATTACTCTTACTGGCCTGCATTTGCGTTAACGTGTCATATGCTAGTGTGGTACGCCTCATGGCCCAGGTAAGCCTTTTTAGGACTATGCACTCAAAGATGATTACATTGTCATCCCTGATAGATGCGGAGTCGTCTCAGAAGTGGATGGATAAATGTACAGTGACACCATGGAAAGAGAGCAGTCACTCATTTCTCATACTAGCGCGCTCGAGTTCGCTAAGCATTTCGTGACGCAGGTGAGTGGGATTTGAGTTTCATGGCACTCCGTGTCTTGCGAACATTACATTGTGCTTGTTTTGCATTTCTTTTGTCGTCTTTGGGTCCTATGACCTTGCAGACGTCATATCGACTCAGGGGAGCATCTTATTGAGTGCATAGTTGTCGTTCCGTTCCTACCTCAAAAAGGTGGAAGTGTACAATGACTGATCAAGTACTATAGACCATCCTTCAAACTCTAGGATTTCTTTGATACACAAAATGTGCCTGCTCCGAACTCTCGTTGATCGAAGGGGAGGGTGCTATCTGATCCATTGCTAAGATTAGGGCTGGTCCTCAACCTTGAAACATGTGTACCCACCATTTAGTCATTTAGATAGGAAAGGCTTTAGGACCAAATGGTATCCCGATAGGGTTTGGAAGTGCATGGGGGAAATTGGCATTGATTGGTTGGCAAAGCTGTTTAACACTGAAAATGCCAGACGAATGGGAGAAAAGTATTGTGGTACCTATTTACAAGAACAAAGGAGACATACAAAATTATGCAAACTATCGATGGATCAAGCTTATGAACCATATTATGAAGCTCTGGGAGAGAGTCATTGAGCAACAACTAAGGCATGAAACGAGTGTATCTGAAAACCAATTTGGTTTTATGCCAAGAAGGTCAACAACTCAGGCTATTTTCCTATTTAGGCAACTGATTGAGAAGTTTAGAGCGAAGGAAAAAGATCTCCACATGGTCTTTATTGATCTTGAGAAGCTTATGATATATTACCTTGAGATTTGATTTGGCAGGTGTTGGAAAGGAAAGGTATCTCTAGACACTACATCGACTTGGTGAGAGATATGTACGATGTAGCAGTAACTAATGTACGAATAGCTAGTGGAGGGACGGATGAGTTTTTAGTGACAATAGGTCTATATCAAGGGTCAATATTGAGCCCGTACCTCTTTGTCTTAGTCATGAAACTAGGCACCTACAGGATGAGGTACCGTGGTGCATATTGTTTGCAGATGACGTAGTTTTGATTGATGAGACCCGAAACAACGTCAACACAAAGTTAGAACTTTGGAGGGATGCTCTAGAATCTAAAGGTTTTAAAATTAGTTGGACTAAGATAGAGTATATGGAGTACAAATTTAGTAATAATAGGAGTAGAGGCGAGGAAGTAGTTAAGATTGACGGTCAGGAAGTACAAAAAAGACCGCGCTTTCAATATCTTGGGTCGCTAATCCAGGAAAATGGAGAGATCGAGGAACATGTCGCACACAGAGTTAGAGCTGGGTGAGCGAAGTGGAGATGTGCAATTGGAATTTTATGTGATCGCTGCATACCAATGAGGCTGAAGGGAAAATTCTATAGGATATCGGTGAGACCATCTTTGCTTTATGGGGCGGAATGTTGAGCGGACAAAAAACAATATACCCATAGAATGAGTGTAGTAG